TAGGCTGTTTCATCGCTTTATAGTAGACAATTGAAATATATTTAGTTTGTCGCCATCTCTAAGATATAACTATTTCCTAACACTAATCTATTTCCTTTTCATTGTTTGTAGGGGTGATGTACAGTGAACTTGAGAATTGGAACATTGTTGTTGTAGATATTGATAAGTAGATAATTGACAGGAGTGGCAGCATGCGTCAAAAAGCTGTTCAAACTCAGGATTTAAAATTCTTCTTTGATCTACAACCTTTCGTGTATAGTTCAGTCCAGTTTTGAGGCACAAGAAAAGAGATAACATTGAGAACGAAAACTGATTAAAGGGAGACTGCGAATACTTACAAATTGTTACCCTTCCCTGTTCGCTCATTAAGGTCATGTAGCAGCTGCTCGGATGAGAAGTCAGCAACTGACCCCAAACTATACTGAAACAATTGAAAGAATGACATGTCATTGTTTTCTGCGACCAATCAGGAGAGACCTTTACGAGCAGCCCTACACAACTGGCTTGTTATAGCGAGTATTGTTTTATAAGACACAGGTAACCCTTCTTCTAAGGTAGCCTGTTCTAGGCTCTCAGATTGTGGGGATGACGCATACACCTAAGTGAAAGGTAGGCGAATAGGGGTTTTGGTGGTAGTGTGCTAGTCCAGCAACAGATTTCTCAGCCATCTACCTTAAAGAGTGGATTAACATTGACAATAGCAAGGGGTGGTTTGCAAAGAGTACGGATGGCGTTTCGCTAGAATTATCTTGATTCTGCATTAGTCACTGGAAATGCAGAAGGGTGAACGTGGGGCCATGTCAGCCTGAGAAAACAGCCCACATTTCGAGACGCCACCACTGGTTTCCCCCCGCGAGAAGACGCCTGAGAAATGACTGCAGAAAGTGTCACTACCCAGATTTGGGTAGTGATTCTGATTGGTCGAACCGCGAGGGAAATTTTCTTCAGCCAATCAGAAGCACTACCCAGATCTGTCATCAGTATGGAATTTCTGCAATCGTTTCTCAGACGTTATTTCAATCACAGGGAAACTGGTGGTGACGTCCCGAATGTCAGGAATTTGCTCAGGTTAGGGCCATGTATGGTATTTACTTGTTGAGCTTAAAAATATTTCATTTACATTTCTTTGCCTGACGAAGGAATTATTTTTGATTTTATGTTTTTTTTTTTGGTATCGGTAGGAAACAATTAAAACTTGAAGTCTGCAGAATCGACAGATCTTGACAGTGTGATGCATTGGCATGGTTCACTAACTCAGCGACCACTACGCTTCGCAGTTGATATGCTCGTGCCCTAGGTCAGGTAAGAAAAAAAAGACACACACACTCGTATTGTTTGTGACCAGTACAATTTTAAGAAGCAAATCAATGCATTTCTGAGCAAATGGTGCCTTTGTACTGCAGCAGAAAAGTGGAACAAGAGCAAGCCAGTTTCATTTGAGACATAGTATAATGTATATCATGAAATATTAAATGAGTGTGGCGTACCAAGGCTCAATGTCTAAACTTGTACTGAGGTTCCAGTTTGTCAGGGCATACATTAATATTTACACCTGTCCACTAGAGAGGATCACATTATACGTTTACGATCTCGTCGACCCTATGATGGTTAAGGGTGAACGGGGCTACAAACGAAAACCTTTTGAGAGCTTTTTCAATGTAAGTGATATTTGATACCATAAGTCACCCATACGTTTTCCTTGACAGGCACTAATGCAAGTGGCTGTACAGGATTGGTCTTTGCAGCGTTAACCGCCTATGAATTATAAAGAGTCAATACAGCTATTGAAATGGATCCTATTATAAATGCACTGTAAATATCAGTATTTATTAAATAAAAGACGCTGACGCCAAGTTGAACACAATACTCTCCTTTGCCAATTACGATTAAAGCCTCGTAAAATTTCATTTGGGAATCAGCATCTTGTAGAACGCTGAGTTAAATCTCAAATTTTTCATGGCATTTACTCTCAGCAAGTGTGTGATCACATTCCAATAGTTTAACTTATTTTTTTTTTACACTGCTGTTCGTGTGTTCAAAGTAATAAACTGCGGATAAGTAAATTTTAGAATGCAATTAGGACTCGTTGTGATTTGCACTTACTATGGAAAGTTTTAAGTTCTACCACTTTTGTCAACATTAATATGGATCTTGATCTGAACTGCAGTTCTTTTTCTTTTTCTGGTATTAGCATGGGCATAAAAGTATTTTCTACTAAAGTGTACAAACGGAAACGTTTCAAGGGTTCTTTTTAACTTCACTATGAATGAAAACGTTTAGGGGACGAAAAGGAGGGGAGGAACCCGTTGACAATTTTTCGTTTTTCCCGGGGGGTACTCCCCGTAGTGGCCTATACGGAGAGGTTCCGCCCGTAAGAGGTACCTTCTTCTTTCAAAAACGGCATATAAAAGGGTAAGGGGTTGGACCTCGGGATTGAGCCTCCCTGTATCCAACTTTATTGAGTCCCCCCTCCCCTCCCCCAGGGGATACCTCCTTGAAACCTTTCAACTTTGATAGGTATTCCCTATCAGTCCTTAAAGCCTTTGCGGCACGGATCAAAGTGAGCTATAATTTATTTGCCTTGCGTTAAAGAGTAACGCTTTACTCGAAACAGTACCAAGCTAGGTCCAGCTAGTTGGCCTGAAAAAAACGTTTTAAATACTTTTTTAAAACTCTACGGTATCGGTCTTCTTTGCTGTATCCCCGGTACATTTGAAACCAAGATGGCTACCTGCTACAGAATGTTCTTGATCCCGATGATTTTACGGAAAAATAGAGGACTGTGAACAGTATAGCGGGCCTCCTGCCAGCAAGCACACTCTGCCCGCATCTCCAGCCCCACAGGTACTCGTCGGTTTAATACCACGGTCTACCAGAAATATGAAATATATTTTAAAAAAATAATAAATGCAAACATAAACGATAAACTTAAACAAAACAAAGTGAAATTAAAGCTCATAGCGACAACCAATCATTTTATAAATGCTAACCTGAATGGAAAACTAAAAGTTGCTATTGTTAATGCACTAGGCACTTCTGCATGTATGATTCTTTATTTGTAGCTTGTCAACGGAAACAACAATAAATATAATAGAATAATCTATTGATAAGATAATTTCCTGCCTTTCAATTTTAGTCAGGCTAGCAAGAAATGTTTTCGCGGCGTAACGATTCCAGACGTAGGAATAACGACTCGATCAGATCGAAGCGCTGTAAACAGGTACACCTGTAGTATTTATGCGTTCCGCTTAAAGGGTTTCCTTTCCTAAATAATGTTCTATTATGTTAAAAGTCATAAAAAGTTTAAAATACCTGATAAATGAATTATTGTGTTATTGCGGCTTTGCATTAAGACCTTCTATCGTGTATTGTAAACAGTCATGACAGAAAATAGGCATATATCGTCGATCGGCTGTGCTGATAAATCGCTTAAATCACAACATATTTTTATGTTTTTTATTTTTTGGGGGCATTCCCTTAGTTGGTCTGAAAAAGTATGTTGTTTAGAAGATGTGGGGATTTTGCACAGAGCTTGGATGAAAATATGCACTTTTGAGCCCTTTCCCGTCTACGGCAAAGTGGGTGTAAATCAAAAAAATATTTAGTAGATATGAGTTGTTTGTTTAAAAGACCAAATTTGTGTGTTTTACATCATTTAAGGACCAATTTAATCCTAGGAAGTGTAAAGTGAAAAACTTTGAAGTGGCGAACTCGACAGTATGCGCAATTTTTACTCTTTGTCACTGCAAAGATTTGGCCAATGGGCGCTCGCGTTTTCGAGTGAACGGGCTAAATCGATTCGAATACGCTACGTTAAAAAAAAAAATCAGTTCTCAAAAATATCCGGATACTTGTGGACGGGATCTAAACCTAATGCTTTTCGACGTTTTCATTGGACCCAACTCATAGGCGACACTGAGTGCTAACTAAAACTAGCACTCATAACCAAAGAATTCAGTATGGTTGACTTGTTGTTTGATTTTCTTTTTTATTGCTGTATCTTTTTTGGGATGTTGTAGTTAGTCTATTAATAGATCGCAATCGAAAAAGGCCACCAACGACAGTCATCCGATAAAAATCTAAACGGAAAAAAAAAACCTTTCTTAAGAGCAATCAAGTCTGTTCGTTGTATTAAGGCTAATGAACTCCAGAAATTATGGCACGTTAACCTAACAATAGTTGTAGGAACAGCCGTGGCCGGCGAAAATTACGCTTGGGTTACCTTAGTGTAGAATGACATACTTTAGTAGTTTTGATCAAGATTGTTTTTTTTTTTTCTGCATATCAGTGAAGTTAAAGAAAAACTGAGCCGTTACTGTCATCTTTGAGTATAATGGTCGACAGAACAACAACAAAAAGAATATCGGCTTCTTCGCAATTCCCTGTGGACTGCTGTTAAAAGTTTGATGGGTGGGGGGTCGTTTTGGCTCCAGACGTCTGCTCGATATTACGCTAGAAAAGCTTAGGTGCAGCTTCTCAGGCTAAAACTATCGAGGCTTACCAAGGGCTCTTCGATTTGGAAGCTTACCAAGAGTTCTACCATTTGGAGGTAAGAGAACATATCTTTAACTCAAACGTAACTCAATGTGCATAACTTACGCTTTCGCAGTGGAGGGAAGCACTTCAGCGTCACGTTAAAGGTCAACAAATGCGAAGCCACTAAGCGCAAACAAGAAGTGAGCTCCATCTTTCGTATTTACGCCTTCAATGTTAGCAATCAATAGCTTAGATAAGAAATAGTTTAAAATCTTTTAAACTTTTAGGGCTGCAGTTGCTTACTAATTGGTGATTTAGCTTGATACGATGAGCGTACACTGAAACAACACTAGTTCCAAGACTTCCAACTATAGCACTGCAAAGGTCCTATATTGAGTTTATGTCATAAATTTAAATGGCCAACAGTTGGGCACGCCACGATCGAATTCATTAGTTTCTTGGTGTTTCAGTGAGTGCAAACAGTCACTTTATCATTCAAAATATGTGTGAAAAACGTATTCAAAATCTGGGTCCTTGGAATGAGTTAGCACTTGTTAGGCTGAGCAGACATTCTTGAAGATCTTTATTGATAGATTAAAGCAAACAATCGCATGCACACGTGCAAGTTTACCATGCAATAACAAAAAATACATGTTTTCTTACAAGCATTAAACTAAATAAAGTTAAAAAGGCATCTATTTACAAAACAACGCTTGAAGAGCTCCGAGGAATGCGTGGTAGTGTGTAATCATGGCGACATTTATGTGGCGCAGACTTACTTCGCACATATTATTTCTTCCCTGCTGACGTTATGAACATGCGTAGTAAATTGCTGCGCGAGAACTTCCAACCATGTATTGTTTGCATTGGAGTAGCCCGGGCGGGGGAGGGAGGGGGTACTGAAGGAAATGTCATACGGGGAAGTTCCGCTACGAGATCCAATCACTTACCCTTTTTATAAACTAACCATTATTTTTTTACAGAAAATGTACTTTCTACTGACAAATGGTACCCCTCTCACATAACTAGTTTAAAACACTGCTTCCCTTTTAACTGCTGTAAATTCACCGTCTACAAAGGGAAATTTCTCCAATTTAATTGGCTTAGAGCAGTGGTATTTCAGCTTAATTTGAAATACCTACATGTGAAAATTACAAACCTTTTGCAGGTAGTAGTATAAACAAATAATAGCATGATTTGTACGTGATATTTGTCATAAATAGCACTCGTGATATTTCAAAGTTGTCTCACATTTCACTCGCCTAACGGCTCGTGAAATTACGTATAACAATTTCGAAAAATCTATCACTCGTGGTATTAATGCCAAATATCACTACAAATCATGCTATTACCTATACAAACCAGGAAGTTTTCTCGTCTCTTAATTTCACATCCATAAAATCCGTTTTTGAGCCCTTTTTGGTCCTTTCACAGACCGAAATGTCTTAGTTCCCTCCCTTTCATAAACTTCACAACCAATGAAATCCCAACCACTTCCTATACCTGAAGCCCGAGAAAAAGTATAGCTTTCTTAAAAGGTTCTTATTTTTCAGAGGTTGTCATAGTGTAACCATTGGCAGAAATATTGTACTACTAATACATAATGGCAAACATTCAAGGTCCAAGGAGAATATCAATACATTTCTATGTTTTTTAAATGAGATATTAAGATTTTAAATCGTCTATATTGCACGGTAGCTTTATGGAAAACATACTTCTAGTGATCCAAACAAATGTAAATCAAAGAAAACGTATACACAATAACCTTTTGTCAAAAGTTTCTCACACAATTAAGATCGACAATTTTCACCTTCAAAATTGGAGTGATTGTTTTGTATAAGAACCTATTTTTCTTTGCCAGGCTTCACTGGTTCTTATATTTTTGGGTATTTAAATGCCAAATTTCAGCCTCTGCGTTCTTAAATCACTAGATTCTTATACGCGGGTTTTTACTGTATTTTAACATCTTTAAAACATCAACGATTACCTTGTTGACACTCCTTATAGGCCAGTTCCGAGAATTACTAAAATTGATAATTAGTTCCAAGGCTGAGGGGTACAATAAATACTATTTATTAACCGAGTGTGAGATCATTACAGGGAAATCTCAGACCAGTCAGATGTATTGATCCGTGCGATAGCGACGGACAAGGTTAATAAGTTATTTATTATAATAGCCTTTTATTATGGACCTGAGCCTGCGATCAATGAAAACCAACGACTGGCTAGCGGATAACTACCAAAAACACGTCACCTCAATGAGTTGTACACTTGAGTCCGCAATACAGTCAGGTGCCACTTGTGAGCGGATGCTCTTTTTAACAGCTGTCAATTGACCATAACATGGATGTCCATCGGGATGTCCACTATAAAATTCTCGTGACAACAATTTATAATTCAAAGACAGCATTAATATTGGAACTATATCATGAAAAAGTTTTAAAGTTTTAATTAGTCTCTTGTATCACTGAATTGTTCTCTACTCAGGTCTGGAAATGCAACGGGCTCGTGGTTTGCTCCCACTCTTAAGTAAGTTATGAACAATTGCAATTGATGTAGTGTAGGTGAAATACTCGAAGTCGTTTTTTTGTTTTTTTTTTGTTTGTTTGTTTCTTCGTCAAATTTACTCATAACTGAATGTACGGGTTTATAACTTGCACTAAAAGGGTCTATGTCACGAGGATGTTGCTGTCAGTTTTGGTCAATTATGTGCTTACTGCAAAATTTAGCCAAAAGCAAATTTTGACCAAATTTCCAAATTTCCTTTTCTGAAATTCTAAAAAAGAAATAGCATTCTGTGAAAGTACAGGCAGAGAGCTTTCATTTGGGTGGCCACAACATAGGATTTTGTCCGCAGACTCAAAAGTTACATTCACCTTACAAAACTCCATCAAGCACTCTGGCAGTGAAAGGGTTAAGTCACAAATATTCTCCATTAGAGACATAACGAAGATATCAAGCAAATCTCAGCAGGCAGCATTACCCATCACAATTTTTTGGGTGATTTTTGCAGGCATAGCGTTAAAAAAAAAAAAAAAAAAAAAACTTCAAAAAGTTGGGCCAACATTGTCTTAATCCGTGTTCATCCTTGCCATCCTTTGTTACAGACGAAAGGAAACGGTTTCAATGCTTAAAAATAGTATAAAATAACAAAGCTAGACCATTCTATTGATGCGAGTTCAGGTAGAAGCATTTAAAAGATAGCAAATAGCATGACAAACACCTTTTAAATACATAATTCTCACTGTTGTTGTTGTTGTTGTTTTTTTAATACAAACAGTATCAGAAATTATGTTTATTGTCTTTTAATTAACAGTTACATGTACCTGGGTGTTGATGCTTGTATCTTCAACAGTGGTGTCGCAACAATCAGGTACGTTATTTTCAGATGATCTCATCGAGATACAACGAACATTACAGTCGAACTTTCACGTGTGTCTGTCTCTTGTAAGCGACATTATCGTCTAAGCGACCGTGTATCCGAACTACCAAAATTTTCTCAGTTAGAGCCCTGTTCTTGGAACCGCTCGAAAACGAACACCTCTTATAAGCGACCGCGACCACCTTTTGCCTTCATGGTTTAATACGTTTCCGTTTTTTTGAACCCCCTGTAAGCGACCACTTGACGCGCGACCACTCAATGTTCGCTGTACATACCACACCACTTAGAGTAGTTTAACATGGAACAACACGTATACGTAACTTGAAAATTGCATTCAGTTAACGATAACTTTCTGCTCTGCCAAAAAGAGGTTGTAAAAACATGCCCCCTGTGATTTATTACTCGTTTACTGGAGGTCAAGAAGTTTAACTGCATCTTTACCAGGCGGAGTTATAATCCGTGCCCAATTTCTTTCTACAAGAGGATAATCTGTATCTAGAATAATTTGGCTCAGTATTACAACAAATAAAGCTAATTCTCGTCGAACTGATTTGGCTGATTTGTTCTGGTGTTATTTCTTCAGGCAGCCGAGACATATTTTGTGTCATCTGACTCCGAAAGAAGACAATGCAAGGAGGGTTCTCAATGCATTTTGTCGAAAAATTGAGAGAATTGTAAACTTTTAGAAAACAAGTAGTCCCCATTTCAACACACGCGCGCTCGCGTTTCGCTCGCTCTACTGTTCCTGAGGAAAAATGGGGACTACTCGTAGTCTAGTAAACTTTTGAAGGATAAAATTTATGGGGACGAGGTATGGATGTGAACATATGAATTGCTCACGGCACCGGACGAATTTCCGACCGGTTGAATATCACCATCGTGCGTTTAGGAGATCCGTTAACAGAACCGTTCAAAAATTTGAACGCCAAAACCGATCAGATAAGGCCGTCTAAATTTTTGTACAGACAAAATTGACCATTCCTGTGTCAACGCCATACGCGTCTAAATGTTTGTTAGGCAAGCGCGTGGTTGAAACATTCAAGCTGCTTCGTCGGTTCCATGTGCCAAAAGCAGAAATACTGAAATAGGGTCACCAAATAACGTAAACTACGTCATTGCTTCTGATCAGATGTAGGACGCCTTTTTTAAGTATATGCGTTTAAAAGTTACTTAGTTGATAGTAAGTTTTCTGTTCGCAGGTTATATCACTGGCGAAAATCTTCATGGTCTCAGTGGATTCTTTTCAAGTCCAAATTTTCCAAATAGCTTTCCACTGTACAGCAGATGTGTCTGGAATATCACAGTTCCCAGCGGATACATCATTAAACTCAGCTTCCTCAGCTTTCGACTGGGACTAACTCGGTACAGTCAATGTTATTTCTTCTATGATCCAGAAGCCCGTGTTACAGTCACAAATGTTGCTTCAGATGATGGTTATCAACCGTTCATGCTGTGCGGTCAGCAACTTCCATATCCAGTGTACTCAATGGGGAATTCAATACAAGTTATATTCACGTCTCTGAGCAGTCAATACCCAGGGTTTAATGCAACTTACACGGCTATCACTTATAGTTCAGGTACGTGGTATACATTATTTTTTTAAAATATCAATGATTGAGTTAAGATTAAAAAAAAAAATGACCACCAACAACTGGCCCTATAAAAAGTAATCCAAGAAAGTCTTGGATTCTGGATGTCAGTGACACTTAGATTCTGGATTCTAATCATAAGTAGGATATTGGATTCCTTGAGTAGAATCACATATTCCAAATCCCAGGATTCCACATTTCACAAGCAAATTGTGAAAAAAGGGTACGAAAACATTTTAATTTCCGTGCTAATGATCTACACACTAGGGCTTAAGAAAAACGATTCAGTGCTATTTAATGAAATTAGGATGTGGAGATGTTATTTCCGAAAGTGGTATACATCACATTTTGGTATGAACTACGAACTTGGGGTAATAAACATTTTAACAAGGAGGTCTTATTATGCGCCACTGATTTTATAGCACGATTGTCATTTCTATTAGACCTGTAGGAGTAAATTGTTTTGGACAACTTAACTTTTCTGCGTAGGTTTCAAGCATAAAAACCGGAATTCCAAAACATGATGTTTACATTTCCTTATAAGTTAACAGCACATCGTAAATGTCCAGAAAATATAGCCTCTGACTAAACTATTAAAGAACGATTTATCACTAAAGGCATAGAAAAGTCTCAAAATGTACACTGCATCTTTATTTTTCACATTTCTTGTTCCGTAAGGTATTATTTATGTTTAATTTTGAAAGTGTGCACGAGTCACCGCTAGTTCTTAATTAAATTATCTGTGAGGAATTTTATAAGCAAACGTCAACATCACCATGTACAAACGCTTAAAAAAGACCTGAAATCAGGTACCCAGCCCCAGAAAAAGCCGATTAACAATGTTTTTTTTTCTCGTAACGATGTATGATTTTAGCATTTACACCAATTACATTTTGGTGACACAGCGTGGTGACTCAATATTTCATGTCACCATGCGTACACTACATCAATATCACTGAAATCGAAACTCTCATCACGCATTTTCTCGTTTTTAACCAATTTTTCGCCTAAGAGATTTTAAAACAACAGGAAACCCATTTTAGGGAAGTACGCTGACTGACATTAATACAAATAATTCCAGAACCTCCTGTGATTATTTCTACCGGTTGTCGTTTATATTTTTACCTGACATGATTTCTTACACTTGATACGAGATATAATAAACAATCTTGCTTAGAAACTGCACATTGGCAGCAAATTTTAAGCTACAGCTAGAATTGGATATGTGATTGTTGTCTGTTAATGGAGGATGTATCTAATTTCGCTAGCAATTGGCTTAAATTGAAATCATCACCATCAGAATCGGTTACGTATTCATACTCAGCTTCATCAGCATTTTTGTCATAGTCACCACTGTCATCTTCTTCATAGTTGTCATCTTTGGGAATTTTTTCGCAACGTTCGCCCATGTCCGAAAAGCCACAGAGATCCATGTAATTCATGTTAGCCTTACTGCACTGGCAGCGCTTGGTGGTACACCTTTCCTTGACACATTTGCACTTCACGAGATGAATTATGGCCTCAGGTGCAGTGAGTATTGTTGTCATGACGGGAATCCACGCATTGTCGTCGTCTTTCCATTCCCAGCCGAAGTCCTTCGTTGTGGATAAGGCTGGATTGGGGTTCGTGTTACTGTTCCATACTAGTTATTGATAGTCGGCAGATCGTATCTATCAAATATAAGGGGGAACTCATCACTGTCGTAATACTTTTCAAAAATTCGGTATGCAAAGTGGTCTGGGACGTCAAAGCAGCCTCTTAAGGACTTTGGCTTATCTAGGGATTGTACCTTGCCATTGCATCGATGATAGAGACTCTTGTTCTTTCTGCCTGACTTGCATTATCTTGAATAGCAGCTGCAATCTGTATTGGCCGGAAGCTTCTCTAGAATGGACAAAAGTGCACTTTTGGCCGGGCATTATAGCATTTCTCCGTCTGGAGCGAACATAGATATCGGTACCACTGTAAATTCGTTCGTTCCAACAGCTTCTTGGATGTCGATCTCAGGTCGGCTTTTGCATATCACCATCATGTGCACAAACAAATTTCAGTCTTCTTGTAACTCCACTATTTGACCGGCACTAGCCTGCGTAGCTGGCAGGATTTTTTTGCCCTGGGTACTTTTTTGGTGGCGGGGCCGCCACGCGAGTCGAGGAAGCCGCGAGGGAAAATTCCGAAATTGACTTGAATACCCACTCTTCTCGCGGCTCCGCCGCCAAAACAATAGCACTTCCACGCTAATCCCGCCAGCTACGCAGGCTAGACCGGCACTAGAAACCTTTATCTTCTTCCCCATGGTCTTCCATGTCTGGAGCTTTCTTTTGTTCATCGGAGACCAAAGATTGATGTTTCCTGACTTGTTGCGATCTTTCACTAAGGTCTCAAACAGTTTCTGGCCAATCTCACTCTTTTCCAAAAGATCCTTCTTGACCTTGCTTGGCATTACAACCTTTGTCACGACATGGAAAAGACCGTTGTTCCGCTCTATGAAGGGATTCGTGAAATTATGAATTGTGGTTATTACTTGTTCTATGTTTTTCTCTTCGCGAGAAACCACAGGAGTTGACAAGGTGTAATGATGAGTACCTTCTTTTGCCAGAGTGGTCTCCGCCACTTTTTTCGCATCCCGGGCTAATCAAGCAAGCTCAGGAGCGATGAGAAAAAAATTAGTACGGGCTTTTGGATTCAGGGTGACACCAACTAGCCCCCCTGAGACTTTCAGTTAGCAATTTATTTCCTCTAAAGCATGGTCTGCACCCAAAGCACAAAATGGCACACGCAGATTCTTGTTAACGACCCAATTACCTTCGAGGAATTCTTCATATTTCTCAGGGTCTGTTACTTGTAGCATCTGTATTCAGCAAGGTACAGTGGAATCATTCTGGCGTTGTTATATAGGACGGTCATGAGTAAAAAAGGTCTTTGTGAACGACTGCAGTGATGTAAGATGCAGCTGCTAGTGCCCTGTTCTGACCGCTCTAATGAACTGGAGTATCTCCATTATCATTCTCATTTAATATCCGAACACCTGGAATTCTGGAATCTGGCTATTTTCTTCCTCAAAGGTCTTCATTTTCCCGATCACATCTTGGGACTTTGTGGCCTCTTCCATTCTTGCACTAGCTAATTGGACCTCTTCCTTGGGGCCCGCATCACAAGCACTTCCCAGCTGCCTTACGCATTCCTCGAGTTGCTCCACCTTCTGTGGATCTTGTTAAGTTATTAAGCTCTCTGGTATACTGGGTAAATAGGACCTGCAAGATGATCATAAGAGCTTCCTCTCCTCTCTTCGCGTGATTTCCATCAAGGATTTGCCTCATCGTTTTGGCGCCATACAGCTCAGACGATCGATTCCACTATTCTCAATGAACGAACCGAGTGTTCCAAGTTGTGCCCTGACAACGTGTAGCTCACCAGGACAAAGAATCATAAAACTGAGGTCGTTCCGAGGCATCTGAAGCTTCTTGGCTGGCTGGTACTCGTCTTCTATTTTATGTCGGGAAATAACTTAACAAGGCAAAAAGCTTCTTTAGCCATATTTTTCATGACCATTCCTGAAGGCTTGATACGGACAAACACAATAGATTTTTTAAGAACTGAAAATATGCTAATATTCTGGATGGGCTTCCTGTGACTTTTTAAAAGCTCTAATTTTGTTACTCGAATAGGAAAAATTTGTGATATTCCTAAATCATCTTGTTAAAGAAAATATTTTCGTTTTCATAATCCCTGCAACCAACGAGGTAATTTTTTAAAAAAATTATCTCGATTTTGCAGGCATTATCAACTTTCAATCAACTACTCGGAGCCTCGTTTTCAAGTCCCAGTGGTCACGTGACCAGAAATTGATACATTTAGTCATACACTATTGCATAATTAACACATCCTGATAATCCTCAGCCTCGTTTCCACGCATGGCGTTTGACATCGTTTCGTTTTTAAAAAATGCCCTGTGAAAAGCCTCCGTGGGGTTTGCAAAAGTGGCAACGTCATTTTTCTCCTTCTTTAAGGTCCCCGGAACACAGCTAGCCTAGTTGCTTGCTTTCTTCACGAAACGCCCACGGAACCGGACATCTTAACATATGCTATCGGACTATATCTTAGTATTTCATTAAAGCTGATAAACTAAGCCGTTTTCAGATGGATTCTGGGATATTGAGACGACAGTAAAGAAGTCCCCTTGAAAATATTAAGAGGGGAAGGGAAAGATCTGCTTTACCAAGATATTAAGGCGTTAAAAAGAAAAAATGTTTGAATATTTTTCAAAAATACTCCAAGAGATATATATGTTATTCACCGGCTGGGAGGTTCGACCGACCTAAGCCCGTGAATAACATTTTTATATTTTTCCTACCTAGATTGCTTGGAACTCCTGTCGTACAAAAGTTTCAGGAAAATCTTCCTTCACTCTCCAACCCATGTGTGTTGAAGTAGGAGGCGTCATGTTGATGAAGCGCGCGATCGATCGCAAACCAAGCAGATGACCCAACACTTTTTAGTAATTACAGGCCAATATCAATTCTTCCAGCCTTTTCTAAACTCTTTGAAAAAGTCATGTACAACCGACTGATTAATTTTTTAAATTTGCATAATATCTTATACTCGAAACAATTTGGATCCCGTAATAATCATTCGACTGCATTAGCATTAATTGACTTGATCAACAACATATCTTCAGCTATCGACAGAAATGAAACAACTTTAGGCATCTTGTTAGATCTTTCTAAGGCGTTTGATACTATTAATCATGAAATATTGTGTCAAAAACTTCAACACTATGGTATTCGGGATACTGCTTTGGCGTGGATCAAAAGCTATCTTGATGATCGGACACAATTTGTCCAGTTTGGATCCCATCGATCTTATTTTATGTGGCGTCCCGCAGGGCTCAACTCTTGGACCTCTTTCGTTTATTATTTACATTAATGATCTTCCTAATGTCTCTAATCTCACTCAATCCTTACTGTTTGCTGATGACACAAGTATCTTTTGTTCCCATAAAGATGCCAACCACCTCGTTTCTATTGTTAACAATGAACTTGCAAAAATAATTATTTGGCTTAAAGTGAATATGTTATCTCTAAATTTGACTAAAACAAATTTTATGATTTTTCATCCAAGGCAAAAGAAAGTCAATGTTAATGTCCCTCTTAGTCTGGAAAATACTGTGATCAAGCAAGTCACGGAGACAAAATTTTTAGGTGTTCTTATTGATCAGCATCTCTCTTGGAAACCACATATTGATTTCGTCTCAAAAAAAAATTTGAAAAGTGTGGGAATTATTGCGAAAGCCCGCTTTTACCTATCATCCCAAACTTTGATGACCTTGTATTACTCCCTTGTATATCCTTTCTAAACATACTGTAATGTCGCCTGGTCCTCCACCTACTGTTCCAACCTAAACTGTTTTTACCTTTTGCAAAGCGTCTAGTGCGGCTCATAACAAAAGCTCACTATCTAGCAAATACCGCCCCTTTATTTGGCCAGCTTAAAGTCCTTGACATATTTAGTATTAATTCATTTTCTGTCGCTACCTTTATGTATTCTTATCACCATAATCTTTTGCCTAGTAGCTTTGATGACTTGTTCTTAAGTAGTAATCAAGTTCATCAATATGAAACTCGACTAGCCTGTCAGTATAGACCTCATTTTTGTAGAACAAATAATATATAGATTTAGCCAGGGCTAAAAGCGAAGCTCCAATTAATAAATTTATAATTTAAATCAAAAAATAAACTTTTAATCCACAAATCATGTAACTTAAGGGCACATTCATGTGACTTTTGAGGGAAAGGCTAAGTTATTTTAGAGTGAAACATCTTACATCGAATTGATAACCTTATATGAACACCCAAAAAATAGCAAATATCTTCGATCACATTCAAGATCACAGTAGATTAGGCCTTGAAAACAAATTCTTGGAAAACAAATCACGCCGAATTTTTTTGCGTTCGACAGGTTTACTTTACAAATTCTTGCCAAAAAATCTGGGGGTGTTTAAACCAATCTTCTATAATTTTTATACATCACATTTGAGGTGAAACAGTACTATTTATCATACAGGCCTCGGGCAGAATGCAGTATTTCACAATTTTTCAAGACAAATTACACTCAGTCAATATTCAGGACGATCAATCGTAACGCGAAACCATTCAAAAATTTCCAAAATCACCCATATGGCCAGCCGGTTCTCGTTTCTATAGTGCGAGCTGTCAGTGTGGTCGAGTGTTTGAATGAACTTTAATAGAGTTAAGCTTCAACATAATAGCTAATTTATTATTATTATTTTTTGTTATTTAATGGTTTCAGTTCTAACGATGTGTAATCTTATAAAGCGTTTGATACGCGCGACATTTATGAGCACTCCTGCAAGCGATGTTCATGAACGATGAAACCAAACGGCACAGACAAGCGATTAAAATTGCAAGAGAGACTACTAACAATCAAAAAAAGAAATATAATTCGGTGAAACATTTACAGAGATAACAATTTTCATTCATGAAGACAAGTATTAAAGTGTCTCTAAAAATCCTGAGTCTCGGCGTAAAGCTTTATAAGCCGGCTTCCCGGCGCGGGTGTTTACTGTTTTCCAAGGTGAACTCCTCGAAGCAAGAAAATCGCTCAAAGTTTTCTTTCTACAGCCAAATTTATAACAAATTTATTAAATTAAAGAATTATCGCCTGACAGCCGATCTGTCGCTTAATTTTCTGATCTTGTTCACTCTGCACTCAGCCATGAATTTAGTTCACTAGGTAGTTGAAGGAAGCCTATTGATATAAGCTTCAAGCTTCGTTAGGCTTCCTTGTCACATTAATTTTATAATTTAATTAACAACTTCTATTCATATTGTATAAGGTTTTGTGAGTGACTAAATAAATAAATAAATAAAATAAAATAAAATAACCAAAACAAAACATTACAACATGATTTTTGGCTCGGTAATTTATATTATGGCACTTACTGCTTTCTTTTAGAATAAAGAAAGGTTTTTGTGTCTTGCTAAACAATTCATAATCTGAGTGTTAAACAAGGATAAAGGAAAACTGCACAAAGGCTTTGTAAAAAGAGCTAATTATACATACCAATTTGAAGGTTTTGAATTGAATTCGAATAAAAGAAGGCGGCGATCGATGTGAGTAACAATGGGCTATCGCATTTAATATCCGTACCCCCCAGCTGATTGGCTAAAATTGCATTCACCCCTGAAGACTTCCATAAAATATGGGTTTACCCCTGAAGAACTGGGTTATATCCCTGAAGAATATGGGTTTACCCCTGAAGAATTTTGTGAAAATGAAGGCTTCACCCCAAAAGAATTCCATATTTTTTTACTCTACCCCTAAAGAAACCCTCAATTTGTATAACGTACCTCTGGACAACTCCATGGTTCCTCAACCTGGAGCGGAAGGGGGGGTTGATATTAAATGCAATAGCCCAATGCAAGTTATAAATAAAGAAATGAAAACGGCGATTACCGACTGCTGGAAAAATGATTCGTGTTGTTTATTGAAGATTGAAGGCTAAATGCAATCATTGAAAACAACTTTTTCTGATAAGTAGAAAACTAGCGAGGCAAAAATTCAATAAAAAACGGCAGAATCTAGATTCTTACAATAAAAATGGAAAACAAAACTTCAAACAGAAGAAAACTGTCCAATAAACGCACAGGCAGCCCGAACTCTGTGGAGTTCGTTGGACTTTGAATTTACAAGAGAATGTATGAAAATAAACAAAATACGTCCTAAATCCCAATTTTGGACAAAAATAGAAATAAAAATGACTTACCTTGTGTTTGTGTTTTGTTATTTACTGTCTCTTCACCTCTAGAGCCATTTGGAAGCCGTTTTATCGACGTTTAAGGTTTGAGTTGTACTAACAGTAACAAAAATGGGAAGGCTGGGGACTCTGAAGCCGACCGTTCCAGCTCAAAGCTCCATAAATCCGATAAAATTGGTCCAAACTAGCCAAAATTACCGTCAAAGGATCTGTCGCTAATTTGTCTTTCCCTTCTATGCTTCTCATGGGAGTCTCAGATTTTATCATAACCGCTAGCGAAAAGCTTGATTTTAAACTTTTTCCATCAGAGCTTTCTTTCTCGGGATACGTATGACCGGGCTCTTGGACGTGACGTAATTAACGGTCGCTCAAAGCTCACAGCGACAATTTGCCTCCTCCGGGGGCGGGCACAGTGCATCGCTAGTGTCATCGTGAAAATGACGGTTTTTGCTCATTGACAAACGGGTTAGCGGGCAAGATCGTAAAATACCGCCCGCTCTCGGAACCAATCAGATTGTAAGATTTGGAGGATTCCTCCCGCTCACAAGCTCGGAAAAAAATAACTGTGTAATGTTTTTTTACAGTCTGTCCAAATACGACAACTTTGAATGAAATTTCAGGAGTCATCACCAGTCCTTTCTATCCCAGACATTATTCTACTAACCAAAGCTGCAGCTGGGAAATCAGGGCAAGAAAGGGAAAACGAATTATATTCATTATTGAAGACATGGATTTTTCTTGGTGGTGCAGTAGAGTATGGTATGAACGCCAACAAAAAGATTTCTTAAAATTCATTTCCATATTCGCATATAATATTATGGTTTTATTTCTCGTTCATTCGGAACCAATCGGTCAATATATTCATAATATATAGATTTAGCCAGGGCTAAAAGCGAAGCTCCCATTAATAAATTTATATTTTAAATCAAACAATGAACTTGTAATCCACAAATCAGTTAACTTAAGGGCTCATTCATGTGACTTTTGAGGGAAAGGATAAGTTATTTTAGAGTGAAAGATCTTACATCGAGTTGAAAGCCTAAATATATGTACACCCAAAAAATGGCAAACATCTATCACATTCAAGAGCCATAATGGCTCTTGATCACGGTAGATTAGGCCTCGAAAACAAATTGTTGGAAAACAAATCAGGCCGCATTTTTTTTTGCGTTCGACAGGTTTACTTTACAAATCCTTGCCAACAAATCTGAGGGTGTGTAAACCAACCTTTTATACTTTTTATACATCACATCTGAGGTGAAACAGTACTTTTTATCATACAGACCTCGGACAGAATACGGCATTTCACAATTTTTCAATGTCCAGGACGATCAATCGTGGGCTTTTAGCGAAACCGTTCAAAAAATTGCCAAAATCACCCATACGTCCAGCCGGTTCTCATTTTTAGTGCGAGCTGTCAGTGTGGTCGAGTGTTTGAATGAACTTTAATGGAGATACGTCTCAACATAATAACGAATTTATTATCATTACTTTTTGTTATTTAATGGTTCCAGCTATAACGATGTGTAATCTTATAAAGCGTTTGATACGTGGGACATTTCTATGTACTCCTGCAAGCGATGTTCATGAACGATGAAAACAAACACCACGGACAAGCGATTAAAATTGCAAGAGAGACTACTAACAATCAATAAAAGAAATATAATTCGGTAAAACATTTACAGAGACAACAATTTTCATTCACGAAGACAAGTATTAAAGTGTCTCTAAAAATCCTGAGTCTTTAAGCTTTAATAAAGCTTAAGCTTAAGTTTATTTTGTTTCACTTTCAGCCGGCCTCCCGGTGTTTGTTTTTTTTTCAAAGATGAACTCCTCGAAGCAAGAAAATCACTCAAAGTTTTCTTTCTACAGCCAAATTTATAACTAAATATTCTTCGGAACGTTTGTTTTCTATTTGCCGTGAAAAAAAAAATCTGAAGGCCTTTTAAAGTCCTGTAAGCTTATATCAAACCTGATACTAGATCAGATCATTGACTCAAATCTTAACAAACGTGCAAAAACTTGCCGCATAAACTGTGCTCGACTTCATGAAATTAGATATAAAAAAAACAAACATCAAATACAATAATTACTCAGGCTTACCATTCGAGATTCAGTTCCTGAAAGATATCAAGGAAGGCCATAGTTGCTTGAGACTTTTAAACCCTCTTACGCATTGAGCAAGGTGAAAGACGAAAACGATGCCATCCGAAATCGGATTACCCAATTTTAACAAGCGACGCATTTCTCAACCAAAAACCCAATAAACAAACCAGCCATGGATAACAGAAGACTCTTGATAGCAGCTGTATTTCATTTTGTACATCCAGTGGAAAAAGACAGTTAAAAACATCACAAGTTGACACAAAACTCTGTCAAAGTAAACAACTTTCAAGATGCTGCATAAATTTTCCGCATGAACTCACCTGTCAAATTTTGACCAATCAGAGTACAAAAATTGGACGTAGAGCGTGACCAACGCGTGACCATGGTAAGAAAAGGTCTTCCCCGCCTTTATTTTTAAAAAAGTGGCTGAATTTTCGCGTCCGAGGTGAGTTTGAAATCAAAATCTTGACAGTGCGGGGCCATAGTGACATAAACAAAACATATTTCATATGAATCATTGGAAAAAATAGACTTGAGCCTGCGATTATTTGAAACTGGTAATTTGTCAGCGGATAACTTCAAAAAAGTACTCGACCTCGATGGGTCGACACTTGAGCCCGCGGTACGGTCAGGTGACACTGGTCAGCGGATATCCTGTTTTGACAGCTGTCAATTGATCACAACATTGATGTGCAATTAGTTTTCTATTGGGTTCCCAAACTAGCTAGAAAGTGTGAGAGAAAACATTGGTTTCCCTGTGGTGCGGACGGACGGTCGGGCGTACGGTCACGTGATTACCAAATTTTCTCGGATGGGTAGATTACCACATTTCCTTAGCTATGGAGCTCCGTCCACACGCGCGCGCTTCGCGCGCGGGTGGAGCTCCGCTAAAACACCACCGTGTATCTCCCTCGAAAACCATATCCGATTTCAGACCAAAATGGGCAAAGTCTATAACCGTTTTCAAACTAAAACGGCGCAAAAACCATACCAATTTCTTTCTAAAGGACAATAATTCTTTCTAGAATAATTTGAATAATCACTCGTGGTTTCCCCATTTTTCCTCAGTTCTTCAATCTGTCTTGCTAACTTATAGTGAAGATCCTCTCTGGGTCATGGTCATATACCTTTAGATTTTCACTGCTTCCAGGTTCTTGACCCTGAGAAAGCAAATTTTGTATGAAAACAGGTGTCTAATCCACTATGTAAACTTCTAGTTGAAAATAACTTAGGAGAGAACAGCATAAATAGCTGATCGATCGCGTAAAGTCGGATGATGTATACTAGCTTTTTTTAACAGTCTCTTCTTATTACCATTATAATTTATACGGGGGCATTTTAACCAAAAATTTGAACATTTTTCTATCTCTTCTTCACTAAAGCCAGCACCAGGAACGTCGCCTGGAATACCATCGACTTGATCGTCCGCCGTGTTAGTTATTTTAAATTTGCCGCAAGGGCAAAAGGCTCACTTCCATGCAACTTCCTGTTTTTTTTTCTAACTTGCGATCAGCAGCTTAGTTTTTTTTCTGGAATCGGAAAATTATAGAATTTCTTTGTTTTTTGGGGCTCCATTTTCGCCAAAGAAATCTCTCCTGCAAGAGCCAAACATGTACGCGAACAGTCAAGTTTGCGGGTAAACTTCGTCGTATAAGAAGATCTCGAAAGCAACGCGATAAATACTGGCCTCTTGCTGGGCACAAAAATATTTTTGTGCCAAATCACAGACTGAGGGCCACTAGTTCATCAGTTTTACTGTCATCTGTCGTGTTTATTCTATTAGTTCTAAATATTTTAATTACGATTGAGGGCTACTAGTTCATTAGTTTTTACTGTCATGTGTTACCCTCATTAAATAAAGTTGTTACTTACTTACTTACATTCGAATAAGACCTAACACTGGTTCGTCAAGGGTAGCATCCCAGGGGCTCTCTCGCCCGACCTTGAACACTTTTTCCGCGGTTCCTTCTTGGTTTTGACTCAACTGACCGCCCCTGGGTCCACGAGGATTTTTTTACCAAAGAAATAATAATAATTTTAAAAGTAATAACGATCATAATTAATGTTGCGTTGTTTGTGAATTTTCCTAGTGTAGCTATTCTTCACATGGGTTTTCATAACAAAGAAAGACATCTTAAACTACAGAACAATTTTTTATGCAGAGTAAACGCAGGCGCCTAATGCCCTCTAAAATATTCGTTTCAGTCACGGAACAGACTCTTAAGAACATCGTAAGAAGGCAGTCAATAGGCCCTTTTGCAGCTTGCCATTCACGTAGTACAAAACCCCCGTGCTGGAGAGCAAAAGTCGCACTGGGACAAGACAAACAAAGGAAATTACCATTTAAAATTATGATGCCTTTTGTTTGACATGTCCCAGTGGTCTCCAGCAGGGCGGTTTTGTACCACGTGAATGGCTAGCTGCAGGGCCTATTGTCTGTGACTTGTTCACAGTATAATCTCGATAATTTAAAAAACGTTATTTCATACACAAACCAAAAAAAGGTTCTGCGCATCCCAAAATTATTAACTCCTTCCTTTCCGCATTTGGTTTTGATCTAATTCCTTCTTTCTACTTACGCTCGGTCCATCTATATTGCATGCAGTCTGTCCCAATATGGCAACCCTGAATGAGACATCAGGAATTCTTACCAGTCCTTACTATCCAAGGCGTTACCCTTCGAACGTGAAATGCAGCTGGAAAATTATAGCAAGTAAAGGAGAACGCATTTTGCTGTTCATTGAAGACATTCATATCGAGGGCTGTGGTTCATCTTGCACGTGTGGCTACCTGAAAATACAAAATGGCTCATCCTCCGATGGCATTTCAAGCAGGCGAAGATGTAGTTACTATAAAGACCGTGGAATAGTATACCATTCGGTAAAAGATGTCCTGACGGTGACGTTTGTTTCTGATAGTGGTACTTACCGGCGGTACCGTGGATTTAAGGCAACTTACATCAAAGTGAAATATAATGCAACAAACACAGGTAAGTTATATAAAAATTGGCTTTAGCAAAGTTAAAGTTAAAGTTAACGCGAAGTTAAAGGTTTATGGGCAGGTGATCAGGTGATCAACTTTCAGCAAGTTAGATACTTGAAAACATTATTGTCTTATAACAGGCTTACAGCAACTGTAACACTCAAATACTTTACACAGTAAAACAACAC